AGTTGCAGCCAGACAACTGGCTGTAACCGCCAACCCAAAGCGACACAGACCCAACTAAGCCCAGGAACATTGACCAGGTAGCGTGCAGCCAGGACCCTGTTCGACCGCCAAAACCCCTCGCCCAAATGTCAGCCCAAGACATGTTATGGAAGACGGCAGCAATAACAGCAAACTTATGAACATCATGGGCACAAGGATAGACCACAGGCTGACTAGATCAAATAATCCTGCAAAAACCTGGGAGACCAGAATCCTGAAACAGGGACGAAGGAAAACTGGATCAACCCAAAGCGCATCCCCGGACACAGAAGCCGTGGCACGCAAATAACGGCAAAACAAAACACATGATGCACCCCAGGCCTGACCAACCAAGCATCAACAACCCAAGGACCCCTCTGGAAAGTAGCCGTCTCATTCTTCGCCAGAAAAGAAGGAGACTGCTGCAAATGAACAAACCTACACCCGAGTCAAAGGAGCAGAAACCTCTACGCCAAAGGAGAGCATGAAGCTCCCAACCCGTTCCCCAGAGGGCAATGCCAACAGAAAAAAAAGAGCCTCGGAGAAACAATCTCGAACTGAAGGGGCCACTACAAACTGAAGGGAAGAGAGATAATAGAGCATCCTGTCCAACGACCAGGACGGCTCAAGTGACACATGAGCAGGCCAGAGGTGAAACAATGCCTGAGACAGCTTGCAAAACAGCGCAAAAGTGACATCTATGCCGAAAGCAAGCTGCAGCAGCTCCGCCAGTGCCGCACGATAGGAGGAGACAGTATTCGACATAAGATGACGGTCTTGAAACAGCCACGAGAGAAAGGACAAGACAACCTTAACAGAAAGCAAAGGGCCAAGAGGACTACTCTTCCCTGGTAAGTCTCCAAGCGAACTAGGACCTGAAGCAACATATGAACCAGGGGAAAGATACAGGTAACCCCACCTTGACCAGTCCTGCCGAAAAGCATCGACTACGACAGTCTTGCAGTCGGGGAAGGGCACCACAAATACCGGGAGATGCCTCAACCATGCCGACGCGAAGAGGTCCACCTCCAGGAGCCCGTACATCCAGTAGAGTCAATTGAATGAGTCGGCGTTGACCATCCATTCCATGGACAGGGGAATGAACCGAGACAGGCCGTCTGCCAATAGGTTGGACACCCCTCGAATGTGAACCGCCAGGACAGCCAAACCCCGAGAACTCAGCAAACAAGTCACCCGAAGCGACCAGCCCCAAAGAGCCAAGGACCGCATCGAACCCCATCGGTTCAAGCAATGAACTACCAGTCCGAATGGAGACTGATCGTCGATCCGCGAGCGACCTGAACCCTCCAAAGCAATCCACACTGCCGCGAAATCCCGCACCGTGCTGTGGGCCCAACGGAAGGACAGACCCCACCGCCCCCTGGCCGGCCTGGTGAGCACTGGTTACAGAGCCCAGCCAAGAGACAACACGTCCGTCAACACATCGAGCGATGAACCACCGGGGAGCAGTCCGAATGGTGGGACCTTGGAGGGACTCGAACCAGGCCAGGACCCGGAGCAACATCCAGATGATCGGGGGTTAAGAGGAACAAAAATGCCCCCCTCCCCTTCAACTAGTCCAGCCGAAAGGCATCCAAAGCGAGGGCCTTAAGATCAGAAAACGGAGCTGCATACAAGGGAAGGCATCCATGCTGAAGCAAGGTCATCCGCATCAAAGTGCCTGCATGCTTCACAAAGCATAGGAAGGAGGCAGCATCACTGGTCAATTCCATGGAAACAGGGCAGAACCATGACAAACAGTCTGCAAGAATGTTCAACACTCCCAGGACATGAACAGCTTGGAGAGCCAAACCCTGAGAATAGCCAGCAGACGAGCTATTCAAATCATCCAGCTCCACATTAAACAAGTACCTAAGAGAATTGCCCCCAGTTGACAGAATGAACCACAGGGAAACAGTCTGAATGGAGGCAAAGCAGGGAACCGAGCCAAAGAACCGAACCCTAAAAAGCTGAAGAGGAAGCTGGTGACACAGCAGCCAGTGAAGAGCCAATGGGGTCCACACCAATCAATCACATTAGAGGCTGCCCCAAAAGTACCAGAACAGCTGTTGAAGTCACACCTTGCCCAGAGGATAAATTATGCAGGCTATGTGGAGCCGGTCGGCAGAGCAGACAGAACGCTGGACTTGTGATCCTGTGGTCCTGGGTTCGATCCCAGGCACCGGCGAGAAACAATGGGCAGAGTTTCTTTCACCCTATGCCCCTGTTACCTAGCAGTAAAATAGGTACTTGGGTGTTAGTCAGCTGTCACGGACTGCTTCCTGGGGGTGGAGGCCTGGTCGAGGACCGGGCCGCAGGAGACACTAAAAAAGCCCCGAAATCATCTCAAGATAACCATCAAGAACCTCAAGATAACCTCAAGTTTAGGCTTCCACACAACCATTTGAAAAACCGTCGAGTCACCAGGGACCAACTCAACACCAACAGATGGTGGGGTGCTGCAGCTGGATCACCGCCGCTGGAGAGAGGGAACGCGAAGCGAACTGGGAGTCCCACATGAGGCGCAGCCAAGTCCGAACCTAGCACGGAACCAACGGGACTTCTACAAGCCCCCCAGAAACCTGAAATCCGGCAAGCTGAGAAAGAACCAGATCCCTGGCCAGCAAACACATGAACCAGCTGGGAGCACATACCAGCCAGTTGTTGAAGTAGGTCCAAACCCCTAACAAATGAAGATGAGTCACAACAATCCAAGCCAGGCAAGTGAACACGCATGGACCCAGATTGAACACAAACTAAAGACCCCAAAATTGGTAAGCCTATCACCCCACAACACCTTGCCAAACCCTGAACCTCAGATTCATAGGTACAGTATGTGCCAATACACATCTCAGAGTCCCAAGGAAATCATTCAAACACCCACCTTAAGAATGAGATGGACCTGGAACATAGTGGTCCTCCAGAATGAGGTGCAAGGAATGAACCAGTGTGGCAGCAAAATGTCGATGATGAACCGGAGGACTTTCAAGTCCCATTTCAGGAACGTAAAAGGCAGGAAACCCAGCCACTCAGAGATGACCCGACAGAGGCGAGAAGAGTTGTCCTATCCAGAGGGACCCTTAACCCAAAAGGAAGAGGGACTAACCAATTCCACCACAAGCAGTGGGAAACAACCCAAAAGGCTCCCAAATTGTGAGACCAGGAGTTGGCAAACAAAGCAAGCCACCCAGTCAAAGGGGGTGAACTATGAAAAGGGGCAGTTCTACCCATAAGTAGCCGAAATCTCCGAAAGTAGCCGAAATACCCATAAGAGAGTATGGCCCCGACCCGATAGAGATGGACTGGCTGTAGAAAGTGCTTGCGACCTGGCATCTGGCTCCACAGATGGTCTAACTCGACCCATTGCAGGTGAATGCAAAGATCAGGCAACACAACCTATTGATATGTGAATTGGGCAGCAAAGAATGTGACACAGAGGCCAAGACCCCCACATATAGCATTCACCAAATGCTTCATCGTCCTTCTGGAGCCAGTTAGACTGAAGCTCCAAGAGACCCAAGAAAGGCACAATGGAACCCAAATGTAGATAGTCCCAAAAGTCTTACTCCACAAGCACCACCAATAATAAGAGAACCCGGGCATGGAGCTGCACGAGACCCATGTCCCGAGAAAGAGCGGGAGGGGCACAAAAGAAGAGCAACCCAGAAACACGTGCAACACAATTGACACCTCATGCTACTAAAGCATGAGGTGTCAACAAAACCCGGTCCCAGGTTCAACAAAAGCCACACGAAGCACCAAGCGAGAATGGTGGATTGTCTGCCAGCCGGGAAGACGGAACCTTGTAACGTATCCAATAATGAGAAGTTCCAAACTTAAAAAAAAAGAGATAGGATCCATCAGCGAGGCATAATTTGGGTCTCACAGGAATGTAAACAAAGCCTCACAAGACACTATAGAAGGGACCCAAGAGGCAGAAAACCTCCAGAAGAGCCATCTCAAAAGACCAGAAGGCATGCAGAAATAAACTCTCGAGATGATTTCGGGGCTTTTTAGTGTCCCCGTGGCCCGGTCCTCGACCAGGCCTCCACCCCCAGGAAGCAGCCCGTGACAGCTGACCAACACCCAGGTACCTAATTTACTGCTAGGTAACAGGGGCATAGGGTGAAAGAAACTTTGCCCATTGTTTCTCGCCGGCGCCTGGGATCGAACCCAGGGCCACAGGATCACAAGTCCAGTGTGCTGTCCGCTCGGCCGACCGGTTCCCCAGGGGGCAAGCTGCACCCAATTCATATTCATACAGGGAGAGGGGATACAAATCCCTCCCCTGCAAAAGAGACCTTCATTCGAGGGAACAAGGAAACACAGAGTCAAACGGGACCCCAAGGGCCCATACCCGATTCTCTCCCCAAGTTCTGGAAGCCGCAGCCGAGGGCCCCAAGATGGAGTTAGCATCCATTCCGCTTGATTAGGATAGAAATACAGATGAACATTTCTGTGAGGGGGAAGAACAGGTTCTGGATCAGGCCTCTAGAACTATGGCTGATGTGACCCAGTAGACAGTAACCATCTCAGCATATAGCTTTAGAGAGCCACAATGGGGCATCCCTAAAAACCAAGTCATCCAAAGAATTAAAAATAATAATCAGAGATACAGAAAGCATAATTTAATAATTAAATTACAAAATGTGGATCTGCACATTAAAAAGTTAAATATAATATTAATTAAAAAAGAATCTTGAGGTTATCTTGAGATGATTTCGGGGCTTTTTAGTGTCCCCGTGGCCCGGTCCTCGACCAGGCCTCCACCCCCAGGAAGCAGCCCGTGACAGCTGACCAACACCCAGGTACCTAATTTACTGCTAGGTAACAGGGGCATAGGGTGAAAGAAACTCTGCCCATTGTTTCTCGCCGGCGCCTGGGATCGAACCCAGGACCACAGGATCACAAGTCCCGCTCAAGTCTCAAGAATCTCACCAAAATTTTGTTACAATCATAATCAAGGAAGGAATGTGACTTACCATATGCAATATATACTTCTGAGCTTCTTGTGGAGTTGCGAGTTGAACACGATTGGCCACATCTGCCAGCGAGAGTGTCAGGAATGTGCGTGTGAGACGCTGAATGTTCTTTTTATACAGCGCACTTAAGCACTGCTTAACCAGCCCCATATTTTGGTCTCTGTAAAAGAAATCAGGATAGTAGTAAATGGTATTATATAAATTTGAAACAATCTTGATATGCAAGAAATGAAATATCTCACAGCATAACAAAAGGGTTTAATAAACTTCCTTTAAAGGCCTTCCTAAAAAAAATTCGGAACTGAAGGGGCGAAGACAAGAAAGAAAGGAAGGAAGGAAGGAAAGAGCCCGATCCAAAGACCAAGAAGGCTCTGGCGGCACATGAGCAGACCGGAGGTGAAAAAACGCACGAGTGCACTTTCAAAATGGACCGCGAGTGACATCCACCATGAATGCAAGCTGCAGCGGCTCCGCCAATACCGTACGACATGAAGTGACAGTATTAGACATGAGATGATAATCCAGGAAAAGCCAAGACAGAGAGGACATAATAATCTGGTGCAAAATCAATGAAAACCAATGAAGAGAAAAAAAATGACGAAAAGACCGCCAGGAAACTTCATACTGTCGCCGAGACACAGACCACAGGTGGGACACCATCAACGAAGCCACCTAATCACCATACAAATGACAATACACGTGTCAAAGTCCAGAAGCGTAGCATGGAGCAATAAGGCGAACAAGCAAGATACCTCACCGGCCCGACCTGCTGAAACAGGCGAAGCCGTGTAAAAACTCCCGGGTTCAGACATCGAGCAAGCAGTGCCTGAAACCAAGGCTGGGCTGGCAACCGTGGAGCCCAGAGAATCCCTCTCCCTCGATAGGAATCCAGTCAGGCGAGAACCAGGAGCAACAGCTGGAACGAGGTAAAGAAGTACAGGAACCCTGATCTCTACCAATCCTGCCAAAATGCATTCCCGATGAGTGCCTCGCAGTTGGAGAACAGCACCATGTACAATGGGAGACGCCGAGATCCCGCCGACGTGAAGAGGTCCATCACCAAAGGAAGGAAGCAGCATCAACCGTCCACTCCATGGAAAGAAGGAATGAAGCGCAACAGGTCATCTGCCAGGATGTTGGACACTCCCTGAATGTAAATGCCGCGGAGAGCTAAACCCTAAGAACTCAGCAGAAGAGCTATATGAAGCAACCAGCCCCAAAGAGCCACGAACCGAAGAGAAAGGTTGAGATAATGAACGATGTGACAGCAGTCCGAATGGAGCCTGATCACTGAGCCCCGAGGAAGCCGAATCCATCACAGTGCCTGCCACTCCACTACAAACTTTCGCAAAGTGTTGTGATCCCGACATAAGGACAGCCCCCAACACCCCTGGCCGAACTGGCGAGCACTAGTCACAAAGCCCCAATCAAAAGACGAGTCGCCCCGTGAACACATCGAGCAAGGGAAGAGGAAAGTGCCATGCACCAAACCCTGAAAAACCCTTAGAGGAAGCCAGTGATGCAGCAACTGCCACAAGGACACAGGGGATCAAACCCAGAGCAAGAGCGGTGAAAGAGGCTACCCCAAAGATACCAGACCAGTCTCTGAAGCCAAACCCTGCTGCTTCTACACAGCTGCTCGAGCAACCACCGAGTGACCCAGGTCCCCCCCTCAAAAACACCTGAAGGTAAGGCTGCAACTGGAGCAGAGCTGCAGAAGGGAGAGAAATGGACACAGTCCAAGAATCCCACACTAGGCCTAGCTAGGTTTGTACTTGGAATGGAACCAACTTCTGCCAGATCCCTGGCTAGGAGACATGCAGACCAGCAGGGAGCCCACACCAACTAATCATCGAGGTAGCCCAACACCCGAAGACCTGCAGACTTAGGTGGGCCACCACGACCCGAATTAACCGCATGAAAACCCGAGGTGCCAGATTCAAGCTAAATGGAAGACAACGAAAAGGGTAAGCCTGTTGCCCCACGACAAACCCCAGATGAATTGGGACATGCCAATAAGCGTTCCTGAGGTCCAGGGAAATCATCCAAGCGCCTAGCTCGAGAGCAAGCCGGACCTGGGACAACACGGTCATTCAAAAAGAGGGGCAAGGAATCAACCGGTTCAGATAAGTCTAGAATGTACCAAAGATCCACACAGTCTCGTTTCAGAACTGGAAACAAATGGGAAACCCACTTGAGAGTCGAGGTCATTTCAACCACACCCAGGCCAAGCCACTCTTGAGATGACCCAACAAAGGGATAGGAAAGAGTCCTGCCCCCTAGACCCGACCCCTGACTAGGGAAAGGGCCGCCCAATGCCACCAAAGGCCGAAAGAAACGACCCAAAAAGCCCACAAATCAGGGGACCAAGCGCGAGCAAAAAGAGCCTGCCTGCCCCCCATCATCCCCGTCAACGGGGTGACCCGAGAAATAGTCGATGCGAACCCAGAGATGCCAACCTTCGCACACAGTGAACACCACATCGACCAGATGACGAAGGCCCCAGGGAACTCACTGATGCAGAAACTGGCACCAAAGGCCTACCCCGACCAAATGAGTCCCAAGCCCTGGCACGACCAAACCGATAGGTACTCGAAGGATCTCCCAGAGCACCAATAAGTTCGATATAGGACGGCAACTGGTTGAAGCCGCAAATAGAAACTGGGCAACGGTGTCATCCGGGAACAACAGAGGACAGAACAACGAAGAAGACTACAGAGGACAGAACAGCGAAGAAGACTGCAGAGCCAGGGCCCAAGCCAAATCTAAAGACAGCAAGTACAACTTGTCAACACGCAAGACGGGAGGTAATAAGTGTAGAAACAACCTCCGCTCTGCACAAACAGCTTCAGCAAGTTAGATGACACCGCAGCAGCCGAAGGCCTCTCACTTAATGCCCTCACATCCACCGAAAGCCAGTCCGAACACAGCTCCAGAAGACCAAAGAAGAGCAAGACCAAGGCCAAATGACCGACAGTCCGGAGGTCATCAGCCGCCAAAGAAGCCGAAAGAATTGGGACATGCCCATATCACGAGGAAGCGCAAGGACAAAGAGGCACTCATTTAGGAACTCAAGCAAGCCCCCCCAAGATGCCAGGGATAGGAACCCTGAAACAAGAGCTGGATCAAAACTTGGAGTGAAAAACACGCAAGGCAGTTGGCATAATACAATCGTCGATATTAAGCAAGCCCTTAAAACATGACATAGTCCCAAGAAACACTAAACCATTTATTTAGAAATTACTGAAAAAATTAATATCACTGGAATGGAGTTAAGGCAAAGTTTTAAAGTGTGGTTGGTTTTTGTGTATAACAAAAAACCAGCGTTGAATGTAATGAAACGCCATTTTCTGGGTGAGACCCGGAGGCTCCCCGGAGCTTTATCGGCTGATATGCTAATGTCAGACTTTGGCATCAGTCATGTGTATGGAGTTCTAGGGCCTACCGGGGACCACGAGCCAGAACCTGGCCCCCTCAGAGAGGGAAGGGGAGCAATGGCCTATAGAAACCCCCGTGTGGTTGGAAGCATTCTATGTCTGCCATCGACCGGGTCAAGCATCCAGAAAGGTAAGCATTCCAAAACAAACCCCTATTCTGGTGAAAATTGCTACCTAAGCCGAACTAGTGGATAGAAAGATGGAGACTGCTGCCATCAAACAACCAAAACGCTAAAACCGAAGGAGCAAGAAAACTCAGCGAACCGACCCCGAGGCAAAGGCCCAAAGGAAAGAGCCGACGAAAAAACACACCGGAACCGAAGGGGCACTACCAACCGAGGAGAAGACAGAGCACGCTGACCAGAGACCAGGATGGTGCAAGCAGCGCACGAACAGGCCGGAGGTGAAACGACGCACAAGACAGCTGACTAACGGTGCAGAAGCAACACCAAGACTGAAAGCAAGCTGAAGCGGCTCCGCCTGCGCCGCACGAAAAGAGGCGACAGTATGTGGCAAGACGACGGCCCCCAACCCCCACTAGAAAACCAAGCCGAGAGTAAACCAAGCTAACAAGAGTAACCACCTAAGAAGGGACAGGAAAAGGAAGGACCGCCAAAATACCCCATACTGCCGCCAAGAGAAGCACGCAGGTGGGACACCTACCACGAAGCCACCCGACCACCAACCGGAGGCGAGACCACGAGGCAGAACATAAGCAGCCCCGACAAGGCCCCCCCGAGCCCAGGAAAAAGGCGGAGCCGCGAGAAGATCTCGGGCACGACCACCGAAACCCAGGCGGCACAAGGAGATGGAACGTCTGCCGAACAGAAAAACTCCCCAAAGCATGCAAGCCCGCCAGGAGTTCAGAAACGACGGGTCCGACGCGAGACATCGCAAGACCAAAAAAAAAAAAAAAAAAAAAAAAAAAAAAAAAAAAAAAAAAAAAAAAAAAACGGCAGGGCAAGCTAGGAAACCAAAGAAGGCGGAAGGGTCGCCGCCAGAACAGGACCCGAACCAAGGGGCACGAACAACTGCAACAGACCGAGACAAAGAAGCACATCACAGGACACAGGCTGACCAACGCCTGAGAACACATGCAGAACATCCCTGCTGCAGAGGAGGCAGGAAGAAAGAGCAGAAGCACAAAAACCCCAGGAGAACAACCAGGGGTGGACAATCAGGCAGGGACAAAAACCCCACGCAATCCCCAGGCACAAAACGGCAGCAAAGTGCCACTCCACAACCGGACACAGGAACAAGGACACGCCACCGTGAAACACGGTACCAATGCACACGTGCAGCAGCAGCAACAGGCACCACTACAACATGCAACATGTAAATAGCAACCCCCCTCTGCAAAGGCAGAGAACGGAGCAGGCAGACCCCAGACAGGGCCAACGGAGACACGACAAAACCCTGCAGGCCCAGAAACCTGCACCAGGCGACCGACGGCGTTGAAACCCCGCTCGATACCTGCTGGATGAGGTACTGGGAGCTCTTTTACACCTGAAGCCCGGCCAAAGGTCAGGCTAGAGCAGCCAGAGGATGGCCCACCAGGCAGCTGCTAGGAGCAGTCCACCGGCCCACATACCCCCACAACCAGGACGGGCCGGAACTGCCATACGAAAACAGGCCAGTGCGCCCTGGAAGTCCACGGACGAACCAGCAAGAAGGCTTATGCTCGCAAGTAGGTCGTGTAACAAGCACAGACCTCTGATGGGAATACAGTGTTCCCCAAAGGTGCCAATAGCACCACTGCACTCCACTGGTACTATCCCGCAAGTTCTAACAGATAGGCGGGACCCAAGAGCCAGAGCTCAAATCCTGCAAGCACAGCCAGGAGCCTTACCAGGTGAGTACAGAACCAACCCCACAACCCCCACACCTCACAACATTAAAAAAGGAGGGTCCCCTGAATGACTCCAGCATGGGTTGGACATGCACATGAGGGGGACAGGAAGGGGTGATAAAGGGACAGTCACTGGTGTGCGAACGGTCTCAGTCGTACAAAAATATACCTAAATAAAGACAGGTATATAAACACCGCCGCATCCAGCGCCCGGCCAAAAGACGCCAGACCGCAGAAACTCACCTGGCGAATGGTGGCACGAACTTGACACGACTCAACCGTGCCCAGAAGAACTTGGGAGCACCGCCAGGTGAAGACGCCAGAGCCGGACCCTGCCGGACCCGCAGGAGAGCAGGGAGAGGCGAAGGAGGCGGTCCACACCCATGACACAGGGAAAACCGCGGTGTCCTCCCCACAACTGGGAACCAGGACACCCCCGAGGCGAAGGGGCACATACCGCAGCCAGGGAGAAGAACGAGAGGCGAAGCACTGTAGCAAAAAAGGGCGCAAAACACCAGCACTGAAACACCGCCCAGACCAAAACAAACTCCACGGCGCATGCGCATAACACGCTGGCCGAACCGCACACCCTCCCTGCGGGAAGGCGCCAGCCAGGACTACTGCACGAGAAAAGTAGCCAAAAGAGGAAGCAGGAACAAGAAAACCGGCCAAATTAGCAAAGAGCCCAAAAAGGAACCAAACCGGGCGACAAGTAGCCCAACAGGGCGACAAGCAGCCCAACAGGGCGACAAGCAGCCCAACAGGGCGACAAGCAGCCCAACAGGGCGACAAGCAGCCCAACAGGGCGACAAGCAGCCCAACAGGGCGACAAGCAGCCCAACAGGCCGCCCCGCAGCCCAACAGGGCGACAAGCAGCCCAACAGGCCGACAAGCAGCCCAACAGGGCGACAAGCAGCCCAACAGGGCGACAAGCAGCCCAACAGGGCGACAAGCAGCCCAACAGGGCGACAAGCAGCCCAACAGGGCGACAAGCAGCCCAACAGGGCGACAAGCAGCCCAACAGGGCGACAAGCAGCCCAACAGGGCGACAAGCAGCCCAACAGGGCGACAAGTAGCCCAACAGGGCGACAAGTAGCCCAACAGGGCGACAAGTATGAGGAGCCGACAGACGTTCCAATAATGCGGGAAGTAGCGAAAAACCTTCCCGTACCCTCGAGAACACAGAAGCCAACACTAGTCCCGAAGGCACACGAAGGCACAGGCGCACCCGAGATCAGAAGTCACGCAGAACCCCATCGAACGGGGAAACATGACCAAAACACCGTCCCAAAAAGGGGTGGGAGGAAACATCCACCCACAGGACGGAACCAACCGACTCAAATGCCAAGGAACCGAGCCCGGGGAGGGGCCGACGTCCAACAGCACGTACGGCGAGTGGGGAGGAAAGACCCCACTCCGCGTAACCACAAGCCCCGCCTAGAGGGGGATAAAAACCCCCACGGGCTCTAACGGGGCCAAGGCCCCCCCAAGTCAGCCCCTCCCCAGCCCCGGGAACCTACACGACAGGCCCCGGGGCCGAGCCGTTCCCCCAAAGCCCCGGCCGTACCAGAAAACCGGGGCAGCCGTGAAAACACTAAGGAAGGGAGCCCACTGGCAGACTCATACAACACGGCTGGAGGAACAGGCTCAAATGCCCCCGTCACTACCCTGGAAGGGGAATTCCCCGAGACTGCCCGAGTCTCAACACCACCAAAAACCCCGCCCCGAACCTACAGACGGTAAAGAACCGGATGAAGGCAGGAAGGGCGATCCAGGGGAAAGACAAGGGGGCGTGGATGGAACCGAAGCAACCAACACCCCCAAGTCCCAAAACGAACTACAACGGGGCAGCCCCGGGGCTCCCGGGGAGGAAACCACGAGAACGTTGCCACCACCAAGGCTCAAGTGCAACGCCCCTGCTGCCCGCACCCGCTTTGTTAGCACAACTGGGTAACCGAGCCACAACGAGCAACCAAACTCGCAGGACTCCGGGTCGAAGGTGTCACCGACCCCACAGGCAGCAGACGGAGGCAAAACAGAGTCACCCAGAGACAAAGGGCGAGAGCAACCCTCAAACTCGCTGGAAGCGAGGGGGGGACTCTGGGGTCACATCCATCGGACCCGCGCGCCCCCAGGGGTTTCCCAGGGTCCCGAGCGTTTACTTTAAGAGGACTCGCGCTCAGGTAATCCCAGGCAGAGTACTGCTAACCGGCACCCAAAGCTACCAAACAACTTTCTAAGAGCTGAACCCCCGGGATGTGTACACTCACGGGGACTTAGCAGGGGGTACCACCAGAAAATACTCAGAACACAAGGGACACAAGGGGCAAGAACGAAGGCAGACCCCCCACCAGGTAGATAAACAAAAAGAAAAAGAAAACCCCGCAAGAGGACAGCGTACCCAAGCGGAACAGAGCCGGCCGCTATGATTGGTAAAGACAAGCTGCACAGTACCCCGCGCCCCACCAGTGCAAACACTGCCTCTTACTCTAAGGCGAACAAGGGAGACAGAACACCCGAGCACACAAAGAGCTGCCGAAAACCAAGCAGTAAACGGCCAAGCAGGGGCAGGACCCAAGGAACTTGTGGAAGGTGGCCCCAAGCCCCAAGGGCAGTACTTACAGGGCACCTAGGGAAGGGAACCCTAGGCGCATGCAGCCCGAGTACTGAAGAATCACTCCCGGCTCACCCACCACCTAGAAAACAGACACCACACTCTAGGTACAGTGCTGAAACAACCACTGGAGCCGGAGCACATAACCATTGCCTATAGCATCAGCCGAAGAACTGATGGGTGGATAGCCGGCGTGGGAGGTCTGGGGCTCCCTTCCCCCTCCCGGGGAGGGGGGAGCTGCGCAGACAGCGGCGCGGTGACGTATGACGTCATACTAGTTTCCTTGTTTTCTGTTGAAGAGTTCTATCCACTAGTTCGGCTTAGGTAGCAATTTTCACCAGAATAGGGGTTTGTTTTGGAATGCTTACCTTTCTGGATGCTTGACCCGGTCGATGGCAGACATAGAATGCTTCCAACCACACGGGGGTTTCTATAGGCCATTGCTCCCCTTGCCTCTCTGAGGGGGCCAGGTTCTGGCTCGTGGTCCCCGGTAGGCCCTAGAACTCCATACACATGACTGATGCCAAAGTCTGACATTAGCATATCAGCCGATAAAGCTCCGGGGAGCCGACGGGGCTCCCCCCAGAAAATTTAATTATTCTATTAAAATACAAAAGCCAAATTGGTTCTTCAAGTGTTAGATAATAATACAAACCTTACAAATGTCTCTTGATTTTTGTTGATTACAGAGCATACTTTGTCTGGACAATTTGTACCAAATGCAGTTCCTAAGTCCCAGTACACTTGACTTAATGGCTTAATAAAACGCGTTACAACCAATGATGCATATTTTGGGATCCTTCCAATCTGTTGAAAAAAGAAATGTAGACTCACAATTGTTGAATAGATTTTTTTTAAGAAAGTTAAATCAAATAACAATGGAGAAAGTGGCATAAAGAATTTACTAGCAAAATTATATCTAAAGCAGTACTAACAGTATTTACATGAGTTTAACCTTTAAACTGCACAACACATCATATGATGTAACGAGTAACTGCCGCAGAATTGCACACCACATCATACGATGTGTGGGAGTACCATGCAAGATTTAAAGTCCCGCGACTACACGGGGTTCACATTAGCTTTTTCAGGGCTCTTGTAAACAGACGCCATTTAAAAAAAAATCGTGGGCAGCATGCCCGGGTGCGAGAGCCTTAGTACTGAGTGAGCTACCAAGGCTGGTGCATGCAGCATGAGCTCACAGCACTGCTGTTCAGCTTGTGACCACATCATTGCCTAAAAAATGTAAAAATATCTATGTAACTGATATTTTTTAGCAATGATAGTATTACAGAAGAGCCTGACTGTGATAAAAATGACCAGGATTCTGATAATAGCAGGACTGTTGTGATAATTTGTGCTGTGCGTTGTATGGTGGGAAGAGAAATGCTGAGGGAGAGAGGGTGGTAATGTCATCTATCGAATCTGTATGGCCACCTGTGTCTGCACTGACCACACTAGTGGTTTGCTATGGTGAACACAAATGTAGATACTTGTATATAATGTGTATATATAGGTAATAACAGCAAAAGGAGTATATTGGGAGATGCCATTTTGGTGAAGGAGGGGCATCATCTGCATGACTTTTCATGCTGTGTAAGGGTGGCCACTATGTTCTTTGGGCACCATACCAGCTTAGTTGTATAGTTATGGTGAGCAAAATATGTAGATACTTATACATAACATGTTCATATAATAACACTACAAATAGTATAGTTGGAGGAGGAATGTTAGTGCATCTAGCCTTCAACAAGTGAGGGAGGGAGCACCAGCTGACTGTGAGGCGACCTCTGTCATTGTCTGAGCTTACCATACCAGCTTAGTTGTAAAGTTATGGTGAACAAAACATGCAGATACTTATATATCACCTGTGTATATAGTTTAATAACTGCAAAACTATTTGTTTATTGTTTTATGAACATAATACAGTAATTGAATTACTAATATGCTCACAATACTTTTGAGTATAACGATGGTTCACACGTTTTATGGTATAAATATATCACACTACACACTATTGAATAATAATATTGAAAAAACTGAGAAAAAATCAATCAGACATTGAAATAATTCGGTAATAATATCTTTGTGGCAACTCCCGCTTGACGGCTAAGGCAGAGCAGACCGCCTTCAACGCTTGCTCCGTCAATGCCTCACTTTTGCCTGACTTCCTCTCCCTATTGCGGCCAAAATATCTCGCCTACGATTTTTTTCCCCAGTGATCACGGAACATAAATGAACACTTATATAAGACGAAAAAAATAATTATTTTTTTTATTTCTTGTGCCTGGGCATGTTGCAGGCTAAAATTGCAAGAGCAGCCCAGGGGTTAAGCCACAATATGTTCAGAAAAATATAAATCAGCAAGGAATATAACGAAATGCTCTATGGTAGAGTATGCTGACTTTCTGTTGCTAACAGTTTTGGAGAGTTCATAAAATGCTAACAATTTTCACCAAGCCCTTGCATATATATATATATATATATATATATATATATATATATATATATATATATATATATATATATATATATATATATATATATATATATATATGCGAACAAGCCTGAATGGTCCCCAGGACAATATGCAACTGAAAACTCACACCCCAGAAGTGACTCGAACCCATACTCCCAGAAGCAACGCAACTGGTATGTACAAGACGCCTTAATCCACTTGACCATCACGACCGGACAAAATGAGGTGATAGCCGAGGCTATTTGAACCACCCCACCGCCGGCACTCGGATAGTAATCTTGGGCATAGCATTTTACCAAATCACCTCATTCTTTGGGGCACACGTGAGGAACACAAATGCGAACAAGCCTGAATGGTCCCCAGGACAATATGCAACTGAAAACTCACACCCCAGAAGTGACTCGAACCCATACTCCCAGAAGCAACGCAACTGGTATGTACAAGACGCCTTAATCCACTTGACCATCACGACCGGACAAAATGAGGTGATAGCCGAGGCTATTTGAACCACCCCACCGCCGGCACTCGGATAGTAATCTTGGACATAGCATTTTACCAAATCACCTCATTCTTTGGGGCACACGTGAGGAACACAAATGCGAACAAGCCTGAATGGTCCCCAGGACAATATGCAACTGAAAACTCACACCCCAGAAGTGACTCGAACCCATACCTCATTTTGTCCGGTCGGTGATGGTCAAGTGGATTAAGGCGTCTTGTACATACCAGTTGCGTTGCTTCTGGGAGTATGGGTTCGAGTCACTTCTGGGGTGTGAGTTTTCAGTTGCATATTGTCCTGGGGACCATTCAGGCTTGTAATTACCTAAGTGTAGTTACAGGATGAGAGCTATCACCTCATTTTGCTCGTGGGTCAAGTGGATTAAGGCCCGTCTTCCCAGCACTCTTGTGTTTTCATATAATATATATATATATATATATATATATATATATATATATATATATATATATATATATATATATATATATATATATATGCTTTGAAACTACTGACGGTCTTGGCCTCCACCACCTTCTCACTCTAACTTGTTCCAACCGTCTACCACTCTATTTTTGCGAAGGTGAATTTTCTTATATTTCTTCGGCATCTGTGTTTAGCTAGTTTAAATCTATGACCTCTTGTTCTTGAAGTGCCAGGTCTCAGGAAATCTTCCCTGTCGATTTTATCAATTCCTGTTACTATTTTGTATGTAGTGATCATATCACCTCTTTTTCTTCTGTCTTCTAGTTTTGGCATGTTTAATGCTTCTAACCTCTCCTCGTAGCTCTTACCCTTCAGTTCTGGGAGCCACTTAGTAGCATGTCTTTGCACCTTTTCCAGTTTGTTGATGTGCTTCTTAAGATATGGGCACCACACAACAGCTGCATATTCTAGCTTTGGCCTAACAAAAGTCATGAACAATTTCTTTAGTATATCGCCATCCATGTAATTAAATGCAATTCTGAAGTTAGAAAGCATAGCATAGGCTCCTTGCACAATATTCTTTATGTGGTCCTCAGGTGATAGTTTTCTATCTAGAACCACCCCTAGATCTCTTTCTTTATCAGAATTCTTTAAAGATTTCTCACATAATATATAGGTTGTGTGGGGTCTATGTTCTCCTATTCCACATTCCATAACATGACATTTATTAACATTAAATTCCATTTGCCAAGTGGTGCTCCATATACTTATTTTGTCCAGGTCTTCTTGAAGGGCATGACAATCATCTAAATTTCTTATCCTTCCTATTATCTTAGCATCATCAGCAAACATGTTCATATAATTCTGTATACCAACTGGTAGATCATTTATGTACACAATAAACATCACTGGTGCAAGAACTGAACCCTGTGGTACTCCACTTGTGACATTTCTCCATTCCGATACATTGCCTCTGATTACTGCCCTCATTTTTCTATCAGTCAGAAAATTTTTCATCCATGATAGAAGCTTACCTGTCACCCCTCCAATATTTTCCAGTTTCCAGAACAACCTCTTATGTGGAACTCTGTCGAAAGCCTTTTTTAGGTCCAGATAGATGCAGTCAACCCAACCATCTCTTTCCTGTAATATCTCTGTGGCTCGATCATAGAAACTGAGTAAATTCGATACACAGGATCTTCCAGATCGAAAACCATACTGTCTGTCTGATATTATATCATTTCTCTCCAGGTGTTCTACCCATTTAGTTTTGATTAGCTTTTCCAATACTTTCACTATTACACTTGTCAATGATACAGGTCTATAATTGAGGGGGTCTTCCCTGCTGCCACTTTTGTAGATTGGAACTATGTTAGCCTGTTTCCACACGTCTGCTACGATTCCTGTACACAGGGATGCCTGAAAGATCAGGTGAAGTGGAATGCTGAGCTCAGATGCACATTCTCTCAGAACCCATGGTGAAACTCCATCTGGGCCAGCTGCTTTGTTCTTACCGAGCTCCTTTAGCATATTTTCCACTTCATCTCTAGACACCTCTATCCGCTCTATGTTGTTCTCTGGAATTCTTATTGTGTCTGGTTCTCTGAAGATTTCATTTTGTACAAACACACTTTGGAACTTTTCATTTAATGTTTCACACATTTCCTTTTCATTTTCCGTGAATCTGTTTCCCATTTTCAACCTCTGGATATTATCCTTTACCTGCAATTTGTTGTTTATGAATTTGTAGAATAGGCCCGGTTCTGTTTTACATTTATCCGCTATCCCTTTTTCAAAATTTCTTTCTGCCTCTCTCCTTACTGCTGTATAGTTGTTTCTCACATCTTTGTATCGCTGGTATGTTTGGGGGTTTGGCCTCTTCCTATACTGATTTCATTTTTGTGTCTTTTGGTCTCTTGCCCTCTCACAATTTCTGTCGAACCAATCCTGTTTTCTGGCCCTGCATCTCTGTTTTGGTATAAATTTTTTTGTGCCTTTATCATATATTTCACAAAACTTGACATACATCTCATTCACTTCCTTGCCTAGCATCAAGTCTGTCCAATTATACTCACTAAAAAAATTTCTAAGGTCACCATAATGTCCTCTCCTGAAGTCTGGTTTTTCAACTGCTTCAACCTCCTTATTTTCTTCCAGCTTATAACGCATTGCATACTTTATTCCCAAAAAGACATGGTCACTTTTACCCAAGGGAGGAAGGTACTGAATGTCAAATATCTCTTCCTCCTTCCTGGTAAATATCAAATCTAGCATGGAGGGAACGTCCCCTTCCCTCATCCTCATAGCTTGTTTAACATGTTGATACAAGAATGTTTCCAGGATGAGGTCTACAAATTTACAGGTCCAAAAATCTTCTGTTTTAGATTCATATGCTTCCCAGTCTAT